GTGGCTTTAGAAAGAGTAAATAGATGCTTTTATCTCAAATGTTCTGCTCCTCCCAGCTAATTACATACACAAATTCGTCTTTTAAAATGTCCAATTGCAGACCTCTAATAATAAAGTAGTCAAGGCCAGGGGAATTTTGTGAAGCACAGAGGATTTTTTTATCGATAGTGAATCGATTGAAAGCAACAACGTTCTCCAGTTCCTCAGGCCTAGAAATAAAAGTTCAGGAGTGCCAGTTAACAGTGCCAGATCCCCGCTCTCTGGAACTCCAGCCCCGGAATTTCTCCGAATCACTCCCTATCTCTCTCTCCTTACCTCCCGCTTCTTAAGTTGGTCATTTTCAATCTACGACTGTGTGTGGGACATCGCTGTGCACAGTTGGCTGCCGCGTTCGCCCACAAATATGCAGTCAATTCACTTTACAGTATATTCCGTGAAGCGCTTTGGGACGTCGAGAAGACGTGAAAAGCGCTATATCAAATGCAAGGATTATTATTATTATTATTATTATTATTAAAAGCCCATCTTAAAACATACCTCCCTACCCCATGATATATGGTACAATACAACTTATTACATTGACACAGGCCTTTAATGGCAGGGGAAGTCTCGGAGCATCGTGCTGGATGGGAACCCAAGGCTGAGGGTGGGAGCTGAGGGGGATAGCGAGGGGGGGGAGGGGGGGGAAGAGAACCAAATCCTAAAATTGTCAAGGAAAGAGCTGCTCCATGTTCGGGCAGCCAGGCCGACATAAACCAGTACCTCAGTAACAGCTGCTGGGGCTAATCAGGCAGCTCAGTTGGCTGAGAAATTCGCCTGTGAATGGCGCTCTGACTGACGCCTTTCTGAGCCACTTAATGTCGCTGCACTTCATTGACGGAAATGTCACGCTGCTCAATATCCTGTGTTAGAAAAGGCGACAATACACACTAACTCTATTTCTGTATCCTCACCGGAACTTCTGTCCCAATAAGTTTTTCCCTTCCCAAAGTCAGCACCGAGTTTATGTTGAGGAGAACGCCTATTTTTATATCGAGCAAGGCATTAAAAGCCAGGGCTCAGGCTGTATTTTTTTCCCCCCACATTGACCGCCCAAAGGCACAGGTTTCGTGAGTTTATGGGGCCTTTTTGTGGTAACCCTTTGCTTTTTAGTCAGGCGATAAATGCCTGTATTTCACACTTTAATAGTCCCTTATGGGAATCGTATGACTCTCCAATGGTTAGTGTGTGTAAATTTGCACTGAATTGCCATGAAAAGGGCACTTGCAATCAACTGCGAGGAATGGCTTGGCTGCCAAGGTCACTTTGAGGTGTTTTTGCCAGGTTTTGGATTCCCGCGACTACTAGCCTAACCATAGGTGGTCTGATCAATCCGGCCTTGGTTGAAAAAGCCCATCAAAAAGGTTTAAGAGACTCGGTTGCGTATTGAGCTCAGAGGTCTCCCCTGTGCCCCCACCAATTAGATATGAAGTGGGAAATATACACCATTTTTCACTGGTCTAATGGGCATAAAATCTCATTGAATGTAAAATATCAATGCGAACGTCCTCTCCAATTTACATTTGGCAGCAAAAAGAAACCATTACCCATGTTGGTCGGATTTTATAACAATTTATCATTATATGAATCAAAAAGTTTTTGGACATGGTTTGGCTGCCTCAGTAGGATTTTTAAAGGTCTACAAATCTCCGCCTTGAGTACAGCATCTGTTACATTAAATCTAAGTTAAATTTGTCGACGTTAATACTAATAAACCTTGCATTTGATGTAGTGCCTTATCATGTTGTCGAGCTGTGCTCAAAGTGCTTCACCAAAGATACCGTACAGTGTTTCGGTTGAGGATTTTGTGGCCGAAAGCAGCAACCAATTTGCACACAGCAATGTCCCTGCCCTACAATCAACCATGAAGTAAGTACACAGTTTTATTTGGGGCATTGATAGCAATGGGGAAAAACTCCCTTCTCTTTATGAATACAACACAAAACTATGTTTGTAAAGGGCCTTTCACATCAGGAGGACACGTAAAATAGTCACACTGAGAGTTGGCCATCCCTAATCTAGAGGAAGGCATGATGCCAAATATTACCACCGCTCTTGTTTTTTCTAACCAGACTTTTATGTCGGGAGGACGTTTCCAAGGCACCGGTCAGTCAGAAATTTGGACCCGAGCTGGGGGTTCGGAGAAGGGAGGAGGCAGGGAGGGTAGGAGAGTGCCCGAACCCGCGACCGAAGAGGAGGGTCTTGAGACGGGCCTTGAAAGAGGCGAGCGAGGCGGAGGGAATCTGGGATGGAGTTCTACAAGGTGGGGGCAGAGAGGCTGAAAGGCCCCGACCGCGATGGCAGGGGCCAGCCAAGCCAGGGCGGGGCGGGGGAACATGGTGAAATTTAAATTGAAACCCAATAACATTTAATATTCGCAACGAGCTATTTTGTTCTCGCCGTCTTTGTCTGTGTGTCTGAATAGCGCCCATCGCTGCATTTTTGTTTTGCTCTGAGCTCCTCTACCCCAACCTCTGTGACAACAAACAACTCTGTGCAATCAACGAGTCAATCACCCCTTATTCAGGCTTCTGTAAATGCCACTGAAAAACAAGCGAGCTCTTAAAAAGTGTTCAAACGTGAAGGCAGCCTTCAAATTCTTTGAGGATTTTTTAAAAACGTAAATGTCTTTATGTCTTTGGACTTGAAAATGTTGTTACTCGCGAAGTTGCCAGAAGCTTATTGTCTATCGTATTTAAAACCCTGGCTTTCCTGGGCTTTTCTTTTGTGTATAACCCATCCACATTCACTCGCAAGCTACAGGACACCCAGTGCGTGTGGGACTATACCCCACAGGGGAAGAGAAGGAAATGTGACACCCACCAAGAGGAGGAGATAAAGAGAATATTGATGGAGAACGAAAGGCCTTGGTTTAAGAAACTAAGAGCAACGCCTTGAACAGTTGTGGACCCGGCTGTCTTTGTCAGACGTGTCTGTCTCCTCAGAGCAAATTCAAACAAAACAAACAGAACATAACTTAAAACGGTTTAACCCTGTCCCATGTCCTTAGGCCGTGTTTTGGACGTTCTCGACATCGAAACGGTCATGGCTCATTCCGAGTCTTCTTTACTTGGTCAACATTTGAACGGGTGCAGGTTTAAACAGTGCAGAAATATTCACCACATTTAAGGTTTGCAGATATATATATATATATAGATATATAAAAAGAACCTGCCACCTTGCTCTTCTGAAGTTGGCCTGGAATATTTATCACATCAGGTGGTTTAAATTCCTAATGCGAAATCCTCTGCCCTTTCCTCTGGGGGGAAAAAAAATGACTGATCATTTAATAGCGCTAAGAGGACCTGCGCAGCTGGAAGTATAAACCTTGGCATACATTTATTTTCAGATTGAACCATTCAGACTCAGAATAAATGTGATACCTGGGGGCTTACTGGACATGGTGCATTGATTCCCTGTGTCATATAAACTCTCGATTTATTTGGGTAAAGGATGGCTGAGAATTTAACAACTGCATCTTGCCATTCATCACAAATTTTGACGGAATTAACCAGCTGCTCTCTGGCTGCCCAGGTACCCCCCAGTGCAATTTCACATGGTGTATTATTTATCAGGTCTTATTTCAGAAATACTAGATACGCGGCGTGCCTTCATGTAGGGTAACGTCTTGAAATGGTTCCTGGTTATTATAGTTAGACACTGAGCAAGGGAGAAGGGGGAGAAAGTGGTGACTATCGATATGATCAAATGGGTAAGTTTTGAGGTGGGATTTAAAGCTAGATATAAGTGGGCGAGGTGGAGGGACGGTGGCAGGAAGCTCCGGAAGTTAAAGGAATAGTGACTGAAGGCTTGGCCACCAATGGTGATATAGAGGGGGCGTAGCAGGCTTGTGTTAGCTGAGTGAATGGAGTGAGCAAATGAGAGGGGTACAAACAGATCAGAGAGAAAGGGAGGTACTTGGAGGCAGACAGATATATATATATATATGCAAGCGTAGGTTGACTATTATACACCCCGAAAATGCTATACAATCATCCATCACTTCATAATGTTGCCTTATTTGGGAACAATATTTGTTTTAATAACAAACACGGATTACATATCCCGTGCAACGATTTTACGTGACTTCATACTTTCGTATTTTCGCACTCACGGACTTTGCTGAGTTTGTTGGGCCAGTCCTAAACGTGCTATAATTGCACTGTTTATGGGACGGTTTGAATAGGCTGCTAGCGGTGGTAGATGAGAGGAGGAGGGTACAGGGCGGGCCGGAAGGCTTCTTGAGCCTGGATCTCTTCCCGTTACTAATCGGGGGGAAGGCGGTGATGGTGCTGTGCGTCGATTCTCTCCCAGTCTCGTCACCATCCACATCAGAAATGACGATCAATTCAACAAGGACAACTTGTATTTATATAGCGCCCTCCACGCCAGGTGGCATCCCAGAGCGCTCAGCAAACACAGCATAGAGGGACAGCAGCAGGTCAAAGATCTTAAAGATGCAGCAACGTGATACGGGAAACAATATCTGAACACAAGCAAATTCTTCAAGGCCAAATATGATGTCCTCACCGTAACAACTTTTATCTCTGTATCACTTTGCCTACACTTTGCTGATATTATATTATCATTGCTCATACGTGGAATTCTTAAATCAGGAGAAGGCTTTCTTTCAATAAGGTGCGGTAAGGTTCGGGCACTAGAAATCAGGTTTGTTGCCCTGTATTGATCGACTCCTACAAGCGAAGTTGGGGTACAGTTCATCTGTCCTGGAGGATGTATCGCTTCTTATCGCTGAAGCGTTTCCAGAACCTCTCCCTTCCTCCCTTGTCCAAGACCCAGCACTCACACGATAAGCGCAAGTGTTCACCCCACCTACACACTAAACAACACGCAGAACCATTTCAATAGAACCGCTGAAATTTGCGGCACAGAGGAAGGCCAGTCGGCCCACTTGCATTCCGTGCCGGCTTATTACTTATTTCACTTTTGTTTCCACTTACTTTTCGCACGCCTCTCCCCAGGTCCTCTCCGTAGCTCGTACCAAGAATTTCAAACTGCACGTTGGGATTGCCACCGTTTTCGTTGAACTCCAGAAAGCCGGTGATGCCATTCAAATCTCCCTGGAAGAAAACGGTCCAAACCCGAACTGTTAAATTAAGGCTGAGCGCACGATGCATCATTTCGTCATATAGAAACTGAAAAGAAAACCTTGAAAAAAATGAACACACTGTGATAGCCTCGTGCTTATCTATGCCCATGCATGGGATGGATTCAGCGCGTAGCTCATTTACGCTTGGTCTTTGGTGCAAAGCTGGCGGGCTTCCATTAATTACAATGTACTTTTCTCAAGCCGAAACTCTGAACTAATTTGTGGAGCAGAATTACGTTACTAGATCCCGACAACACTGACCGCAATAGTGAGAACGAACAGGATCTGTAGAGGGTTGTGTTTCCATTTATATATATATAAAAAAAAAGATATTTTCAATTGCAGATGCTCCATTATCAAAACATGTTTTGCTGTAAATTGGGCAAACAGTACAATTTCAATGATATCGTTCGGTAAAACTAATGCACAGAACTGGACACATATGTCAAGCGAATCATTAATAATACTTGCATTTGACGGAAAAAGCACCTTTCGTGTCAAAATATCTCGAAGCATTTTTCACTTGATTGCTGTCACGTGTAGCAGTGTCTGTTGGGTTTCTACGCAAACACCACGTTATGCGGCAGGCAATTTGCACGCAGCCAGCTTCCACAAGCAGCCGCGAGACGACTGATCAATTTGTTCAGAGGATTGCTGGCCATGACGCCGGGGAAAAAGTCCCGTGTCTTTTCAAGTACTGCCATGAGATCGCGAACATCTGAACAACAATAACCTTACGTTTTGCGAGAGGGCCTTTCCACGTCAGGCTATTCACGCAGAGCGCTTGTGTGTGTTATGAGCGAGCGCCAACAGGTAATAGTTTGCGCGGCGCGTACAGTACCTTTCTGACGGTGTCCAACATGGAGTAACCCCCCTGCCAAGGTTTGGAGTTCTTCCTGATGCAAGTCAAGCTGGCCATACTGTGCCATTTCCGATCCTCCAGCTTCTTGTGAAAGGCATGGGCCAAAAGCAGCACGCTGTCGTAGATGTAAAGATTGGTGATCTGCGCAAGTGACGGGGAACAAACGTAGTAGGGATTAGCGACACAAATCGCACATCTCTCCTGATGCAATAAAAGAGATTTAAAAAGTCAGTGCGTATTGATCTTCGGACTATTATTCTGTATCAATAGCAAGAGCATTTAAAGGCTATGCCATATCCAATAGGTAATTTGTGCAGCATTCAGAATCAATATTCCACAGAGATAGCAAGCCCTTACAACAGTAATAACAGGAAAGGAATTGGATGGAAAGCAGCAAAGACCCAAAGCATTACAATTAGAGGTATCTGAAAAATTTTATGTACTCCGCGCAGAATGGCCTTGGTTAACTCGTGATCAATACCATCTCAGAGAGCTTGTCGAACGTCACGGCCACACCTTTGTGCCTCAGCCAAGCCTACGGTAACGATATTTTGCGAGCGCAATAACGCTCAATGGATTTTTGCTGAAATTGTGCGCTGAAGCTAAAATGTCACTGTTTGTTGTGATGCTTTTTATCCACTCGGTTGGAAATAGCAGAGGCATTGGAGCTGAGCTGTTTGGATTTGACTAAAAATTGCATTGATTAATATTACTATTATTATTATTATTATTCCAAAATACTCACCCAGTATCGCCTGATAATGCGATAGTCCTCCCTGTCGCAGTACCAAGCTGCTTTTCAAATTAGCCCCGTATCCTGGCCACTTGTAGCTTGTTCCAGTCGTTAATTACTCTCCGAGTTAACAAAAACTTCCCGTTGGCTCTTCTGAAAGTGCCCTTTTACAACGCTAAACCAAACCTATGTCTTCGCGTTCAACTGTCTTGGTGGGTCCTCAAGTATTGATCTGGACTTACTTTTTCAAACCCACTTGAAACTGTTAAGACACATCTCTGAATTATCTTCCCTCGCAAAAGTGGAGAGCCCCAGCTTGTCTGGATGGCTACTCATTGCCTGGGCCAATAGAAAAGTGCGGCCGCTATTTTTTCCCTGGAATCTGCAAAATCCTGCATTCTCCGCGAAAACTGGCCGCCATCGTGTGTGAGTGACTGAGCTCCAGGCTGTGGTGTGTGAGTGACTGAGCTCCAGGCTGTGGTGTGTGAGTGACTGAGCTCCAGGCTGTGGTGTGTGAGTGACTGAGCTCCAGGCCACACCAGGCTGATCGCTGCTGTAGGGATGGGTGAGCAGTTGACCTGCATCGCTCTTGATCAGTAACAATTGAAGGAGACGCGAGCTCAGAGTTCAGTGTGACCGTAGATTGCGGGAGGATAAGTCTGGGATAAGTTTGGGACGAGTCTTGCGCCGCACTTGGTTTGCTTTAATGGCTCCGGACTCTGGGCATAAAGTGAACGAAAGAGTCTATGTTCCCGGCCGCAACTTCCCTCTGCTGTTCACTCCTCACCCAGGCTCGGGTCCTCACCTCTGGCCTCCCCCAAACAACAACCATGAAGCTACAAACCTGTAGGTCAAGCAGTAAAACGTGCCTCTCAACAGCACCAATCAACCGCCCGCAAATCTCCGCAACGTTTGTCAAATTTCCCCTGGAATTTTGGGGGAAATATTTCCACAATGAGCTATTGGCACTGGTCAAAGCACCGTGGTCTGAGTGGGGGTGGGGGGGACGTGGGGGGGACGGTAGGTTGGGTGTCTTGGAAGAATGTGGTGGGATGCGCCAAACGGGCCTTCTTTATCCACACCAACCTTGTGATTATCGTTTCACAGCCGAGTCACCAGCTAAGATCTACCTTATCGTTGTTAATTCTTCCCCCTTCCTTTCACAGTCAGCGTAACAGAGCTTGTTCCTTGCATTGTAGGAGGGGAATGCCCATGCGATTTTGCTTACTGCTGACAAAATAAAGTAAGCGTTTGCCTATTTATTCCCAAAGAGATGGTTCAACGTCTATGAATATTTAGTGTTTTGTGATATCGTCAGAGCCGTCGCTGGTTGCCGCAGGTTTTATCTTACACATTTATATTAAAATAAACACATTACAACTCGCGCTGCACTGACTGTTTATGAAGTGTTTATTTCTGCGGCTAACACTTTATGGCGGTTGGGGGGGTGGGAGGTGAAGCTGCACGGATTCCTTCAAATATCCCTTCGATAATAATCTTGTAAAAATAAAAAATAAATAATTTGGTCACTTAAGCCACGGCTGTTTGTGTTGGACGCCGCTGTGCGCAACTGGCTGCCGCGCTTCTCCCACAAAGCGCGCAGTCACTTCACTTTACAGTGTATTCGGTGACGTGCTTGAGACGTGATAGGGCGCTGGATCAAATGCAAGGATTGTTATTATTTTATCATTGCTGTCAGGCACATTGGGGAGCAAGATGGCTGTCAGATGTGCGAGCCTAAAGGTTTAATTGTTTTTTTTTTAAAATCACCCCCTGGCACACTGTGAAAAGTGCTGATAATCAGCTTGCTGCCTGTGTGTTGTGTTGTGTGTGTGTGGGGGTGAGGATGGGGGGGGGGCAAAGAGCAGAAAAAAAATAACACAAAATCGCCAGACCTACCTTCGAAGGAGAAAAACAGAGACTCTCATCAACTTTTGAACCATGAGCGCCCGAAGCTCTTCATACAAAAGTAATCCAATTGCCAGGGACATTTTTTTTATTGATCGGATTTTTATTGTGCCTGATAGTATCGTTAGTTTTATGTGCTGGAGCGCTGTTTGTTGTAAATACAATCGAATTTTCTTCAGCCCGTGTTGTGCATTTGTGGCCGGTGTGGTGACAGCTGCTGTTTGAGGGAGAACTGCGGCATAAAGTTCCCGTTGCAGGATAGTTGTGGGGGGGAGGGAGGGGAGCAGGAGGAGGAGGAGGAGAGGAGAGAAAGAAATGGAAACTCCTTGGACATAGAATCATGGAATCTTACAGCAGAGAAGGAAGCCATTCGGCCCATCGCGCCTGTACTGGCTCTTTGAGAGAGCTTTCCAAATCAGTCCCAATCCCCCGCTCTTTCCCCGAAGCCTATTGGACGCTTTTTTCACCTTTTCCGGTTTACAGCCCGTTCCATTTCGAAAGCTTTTTATCGAATCTGCTTCCGTCAGCCTTTCAGGCGGCGCCTTCCAGATCGTAACAACTCGTCGCCTAACGCAATTTCTCCTCATCTCCCCTCTGTTGCTCTTGCTGAGTGGACCGGAAAGAAAAGCGACCAAACCTCAGAACTTCGAAAGGATGGTGGGGATTACCATATCCCTTGCAGAAATGGTCTCTCGCTCGGAGCCTTTTAGAGGGACTTTGAGGGCAGAGCTACTAGCCAGTCCATCACTGGGCCCAATATACAGACCCAGTGTCTTGTAGTTGTGAATGCGGTGAGCTGATCACAGCTCAGGCGAGTTTGGAATAGGAACTTCCTATTGCAGTCCATTTCTATATCCGTAGAAAACCGTGAAGCAGGTCAAAAGATTCCTGCCGCTGATCGCTCTCTGCTGACTCCCTCTGGAAAGTGAGCGGACGTCAGTGGATGTCAGATGAGCGCAGAATAAAGCCACAGAGATTTGCTTTGATTCTTAGCGCCTCTGACTTCGGAAGGGCTTCGCAAAGTGTCTCGCGCAACCGAATAAGGCTCAGTCAGGAATCCCCTCACAGCCAAATAGCCCCCTGACACGATGGGACACCAGTGACGAACGGACACCTTGTCATGATACTGCGGTTTTGTTATTATTATTATGATTATTATTATTATCATTATTACTAAAGATTCTGCAGCTCAATATACATTCCAGATTTGAAGAGGACCTACGAAATGCAACTAACCCCCGGTTTAGGGTGGGATTTCTTTCAGCAGTAAAATGTCTGGGCCTGGGGTGGGGGGGGGTGTGGGGAGGCAGCAGGAATGCTTCTCACTGCTCCTTGCATTGCTCAGACACTGAGGGGAATTCTGTGCACGTCCCAACCCCTTGACATCAAGTGTTTGTTTTTGATGGGTTATGAAGCCAGTGTTTGCGCATATTTTAATAACATGGTTCGCTTGAAAGCCCTTGCATTTTCGAGGGCCACTTTTTGTACGGGGTCCAAATGAACTCCCATCCGCCACATTTTTGCTGCACGCTGCAAAACGATCCGCTGCCAACATCACCTCCTAAAGTGGTCTCGGCAGCTGGGCTCCAGTGTGATTGGATTTCGTTCATCGTGCTCAGATACAGTTTGTAATTCATGGTGATTTTGCCCGGCAGCGCAGCATAAACCAAACGTGAGCAACTGCAGTGTGTCCATTCCTTCATTTCTATTTTCTCTCCGTTTTCCTGCCTCGCTGACAAACTCCTTGGTTAAACCCAAGGTAGAGCTGATTTCTTATGAGGGCTCATTTCCTCTCACTGAAGCCGAAGCCTTTGTATTCGGTAACCAAATTCCAAGTTAATCTATTTATTTCTCGAAGGTGACAGAAACACGATCCGTTGGAAGTTGCTGAGGAATTTCTGGCCCGCTGGCAAGAGCCAGGTATAAGAGTAGATATGTTTTTTTTTAAATCGTCGATGTTTTAAATCACCAAATACGGATTAAATCTGCGTCCGCCCACTCTTGCCTGCAATTGATGCAAAGCCAATCTAGTCACACATGTGCGGATACAAACTGTGCAGCACCTTTCATCGCACATTCAATACAAGTAGAAGGTTTACACGTCGACAAGACATCAGTGACCTAGGAATGAGGTACACTCTATATGGTTCCAGTCAACTATGGACATTACCAATCCCGAAGAACGTGTACCTTATTATATATTCTGACGGGCCGCATCTTTCAAGAAAAGACACAGGGCTGACAACTTAAACCAGTTGATTCTTTTTTTCAAATTCAACAACAACAAGAACAACAAAATTACGTTTGCATAGTGCCTTTCAGTCGGGAGGACATCTCAAGACACTGGAATCCTTCGGGCATATCGAGAGAATTTCACGAACTGTTCAGACAAGAACATTTAATTACGTTTGGGTGTACGGCACAAATTCGGATCAAATGTCCCTACCTCCACGTTGTGGTTGTATGGGTCTTTGGGGTCACAAAGCGATGGAGAAATTCTGTGTTTGCCACGGATACAGCGGTGAGTGTTGTTCATGGACATCGGGAATATCTGCCGGATTATAGTCAACCTTCCAATTGATCTTCTCACCAGTTCCTGGACATCTGAGTCACTTATCTCCTGGGAAACGTCAGAAACAATTTAATTTATTAAAATGAAGAATACACTTCTCTATATTTTCCTTCCTATTCCTTTATGGTTTTTCCTCATCATCGCAAAGTGTCAAGACTCTTTTTATTTGCAATAAACTGCAATAAATCAGAATGCTACATACTCTTTAAACTCTGGCCGCAAGACCGGGAATCTTAGTGGCAGTTAGGCGCAGGGAGACATTTTTATTCCTTGGAATCAATTTTTATTTATGGGACAAGAAATCACGGAATAAACCCAAAGGACCCGAAAGGAAGCTATTAATTGGGCTGAGCCGATGAACTTCCGATCTGGGTTCAGAAAGCGCGGTGAAAGGAAACACGGTGCAATTGTGCTTGAGAACAGAAAGGCTCCCATTTCACAACGTTGCCGTTCTTAATGAACACGACGCAAGATTGACCGAGAATTAATTTTTTGGGGGTGGGGGGAGGAAATAACTGTTACAAACTTTTATCATTTCCCTAAAGAGGGAGGACAGTTAATCTTTATGCACTCATGAAGCTATTGGGTGGTGGGCGGTGGGGGGGGGGCGGGGGGGGTGGGCGCGGAGTGAGGTGGTGGGAGAAGAGAGGGGCACAGAGGAAAAAGAAAATTCTGATAGAAAACGTCTTCTAAAGGCGTTTATTGGACAGATGTGTTTGGATCGGCTCCTTCAGCTTTTGATCAGCTGGACTGTTGGCGTCCAGCCAACTTTATGCATCGCATTCTGTATCTGTCAGAAAAAGCAAAGTGAACGTGCGATCTTTGTTCCGAGATAGGTTGGGGACAAGCTCAATTTTTTTCAACGTTTCATAACAGACTCATTTCAGGCATTTTGATATTCATGGTATTGACCTTTCAACCATCTACTTCTCACCCGACCATCGGTAAACCTCAATTTTGTTTGTGCGTCGCTGCCAGTGTAGAAAATAATAGCACTCCTGGGCACAGGTGAAGGTGCTTGAAGGCTTTGTGGACCTGGCAAACTGATTTTTTTTAAAAGAAAAGTATTTTCTTTCACCTTTGGACCCGAGTTACAACGCAGCACAGCTGAAGCAATGGAACTTTCTTCTGCCTGTTGGCTCAAAGGGCTCGAGAGAAAATAAACTTGAGCGCATCTCAAACTGGTTTGCACTGGAGGTGATAACACACTCCAGCCCGTTCCAAATCGGGCACTTTGGCGAGAGATTTGACACCAGCAGAAGCCGTAAAGACGTCTGGCATCAATGATAGGAATATGTTATGGGGTAAGGCTGAGTACTCTTTTGTAATTGACCGTAAGGTACACTGTTGTGGGAAAGTGAGGGAGATTTACTGTGTAGTTGGATCGTGAAAAGCACACATAGAAACGTTAGCGTTTTAGGTATGGACCAAACTTAAAAATCTACTGTGTTCTTGGAGCCTTTAGCAGCATCTCGGCGCAGCAACGGTAAACTTTAAAACTGGCTTCAAGAATTGATTTTTATTCAAATAAATTAGATTTTCCTGGTGGAGGTGCTTAAAATGATGAGGAGTTAGGAGGAAATTATTTCCACTGGTCAGCGACTTTCAGGCCGTTAGAGAAGTACGAATCGGAGTGTGTGTGGTACACGCGCCAGGAACCATGTTGGCTCTCAAGAAGGCACGAGGTGGATCCCCAAAAAAGAGCACTTTGCCGGGCAAAAGGAAAAAGCCACGTAAACGGCTCACCAACAGGTGGCGCAGCTGAGAATCTGATTAACTGAAGTGACTGTCCTTGAGAAGTCGGTATGTGTATTTTAGCCGTGTTGAACTTATCGAGACGCAAGTGTTTAATTCACCATTTGGCCTCAGCAATTTCAGGATAGGAATGGGAATGCCAAGCCAGGGTTTCCTTCCTGATCACTTTCCAGACACACAGTTGGTACAGAAGCCATGTTTTGGTGACTGCAAACATACATGGAATCTATAAAAGGCATTGATTAGGCTACAGATGAATTATTGGGTGTAGTTTTGGACCCCGCTCCATTACAAAAGACGTCAGAGCTACGCTGAAGGTCTCGTGTAGATCATCTGGGACCAGAAGATATAGTCTCGATGAGAGGTTTAAAACAAAAAAACTGGGGATGTACAGATTGAAACAGATGGTCAGAAAGGGAATTCTAATAGAAATGTTCAAAATTATGAAAGGGTTTGGTTAAACTCAAAATAAATTTCCCATGGCTGTAAAATCGGCAAAAGAGGGAGCATTAGAGGGGCCATTTTCACTCCTTCTGTTTTATGGCTGAAATGGAATAATGGAACATTACTGGGAACATTTCCTGAACTTCTAATGATGCCTTGAGGTAGAATCAGTCAGCTCTACATAGACATGTCATCGCAGCAACAAAAAAAAAGGGGAAGCCTAGAAGCATATGTTTGTACATGAAGTGTCAGAGGCTCCATAACATATTATCATATTAACGCAAGTGGATTTAGAAGCGAGGTCGATTATGATGGTCGTTAAAAGGGAATTAAACGCTCGAAGGATGAAGATATAAAAAAGGTATGGGGGAAGGGAGCACAGAAGTCAGATTAGAGTAGATGGCTCCAGTGGGGAAAGAATAGCAGCATCAGGAACTCTACGGGCTTGAAGGGCCATTTTCACTCCTTCTGTTTTATGGCTGAAATGGAATAATGGAACATTACTGGGAACATTTCCTGAACTTTTAATGATGCCTTGAGGTAGAATCAGTCAGCTCTACATGGACATGTCGACATTACAGGCTGTTAAATTTACATTCAATAACGTTCATCTCAGACAATGTGGCCAAGGCTTGCCAGTGTGCTTTTGGGGACGGGAGACACATGAAACGATTGAGGTCTGGAAAGCGTTGGAATTTTCATGTTTCCCCGTGGGACGATCTAACGGTCTTTCATTGAGCTTTGCGTCATCCGCCCGCCTGCTCTGGCATATCCCTGAAAGGGAGGTGGTTGGGCGATCTGTCCTTACCGTTGGATTTGTTCTTACCGGTGGATGTTCAGCTCAAGAAAGGGGCCTGAGATGACCTGCCTTCAAGCTCTCCCTCTCTTTGTGGGGCACCGAAAATGGCAAGGGCGACGATTGACAACTCACTGCCTGAGTGAAATGCTGGAATCCCTAAACACTGCTGGATCCAGCACCTCCGAGACGTAATACTTTCCGTCACTACACTGTCTAAACACTTCCAAACACAACTCCTGTTTTTTTTTGTTTAGCATTGCAGAGCACTGCAGTGGAAACTGCTCAAGGGAGAGGAGATTTGCAACACAAAAGGGTTGCAGCGGTTGCCTGGTGAGCTCTTTGAAACATTAAATGTGCTTTTTTTTAAAAAAAAACAAAAGAAAAGCACGGAATTTGTTTTAAAAAAAAAGGGAATTTATGCGTCGTGGTTTTGCATTTTCCAACGTTGAGCTCTTACGCCGAACGTTTCAATGACAAAATGTATCAGTGACCCTCACACCCACCCTCGCAGTGATTTTCTGATCTTGAATTTTTTTTTAAAATGCTCCGGAAGCGGGGGAGGGAGGGAGGGAGGGAAGGAGGTAAGAAAGTGGTCTTCTTGGACCTGAACTGGCTCCCAGGTAACATACTTGGCCGAAGAACTTTGAAATTGTGCCAACTCTCTGTGGCGGTCTCAATAGTCCAGTTCCTGAGCCAGGTGGGTCCAAGGGCACTGGTTATGACCGCACAGCCAACCTGGCTCATCAGCAGGATTTGGGAAGGGCAGACCAGCCGCTGGAGGTGGGGTGTGGGGGGGGGGGGAATCGGGAACTCTTTCCGCTCAGCTCCTGTTAACCCTGCAAGCCAAAGCCCTAACGGGTAGAGTGTTCCTAGCGGGACAAGCAGCACCAGACAGCCAGATAACTGATCAAAAAAAGTGACAGTGCCCCCTTTTAGACCGCGACCCGTTCGTGAACGACCACAAGCTTCCCTCCCACAGATTCCAGGCGGGCAAGAAAGTTTTGCCAAGGAGCTGAAGACTGAATGCAGAAAAGCTACACCGCTGCGCTACATTGATGAGCCTGACAAAGGGGTTCCGTATTTCAGACAGGAGCGCACAGCTCATTTGGGTCTCGCGCCCATTCGTTTTGTACCGGGATTACGAAACGTTAATTCTCAGGGCATTCTGTAGCACTTATTGAATTGCGCAGTATCTCTTTTTTAACGTTCTGTGAGATAACACTCATCATTAGTAAGCAAAGGGGGGCCACGTTATTTTTTTTTACATATTCATGTCTTTTGTGCTGGGTGGATTAGAGCCATTATAATATCCATTGCTGCTTGGCCAAACTTCCTCGATTCCCTTCGATTGCCCGACACATGAACAATTACCTCATTTATGAAGATCCAGTGACAGTCAAAAGCCACAAGATTGGAGTCAACGACCTGTGAAGCAGAAAAGCATCCATCTGTCACTCAAATCCTCGATTCGTACAAACGGCATTTGATACACGGAGCTGGAGCTGGAAGGCCGACTGCTGTGGCTCAGTGTTCTACCTGTGCCCAGCAAAATCCTCGTACATTTTTCGTCGTTATTCCGATCCATCCAAATTAACGTGATCCAAAAAGAATGTCTATTTGATTCAGAGAGGGTACCAAGCACACTTTAGTGAGTATTTTTTTTCTCTCCCTCTCCCTCTCTCTGAGATAACTTTTTCCCCCCCTTCGCACTCTGAAGGCATTCCAGCACCTGAACCAAGTCGTTTCACATTAGCAGATGAACGGAACAAATTTAACTTCCTTTATCACGGACTTCATTAGAAAGGTAACTGTTCGAACAGCCCCAGCTGCCTCAACAGAACAGCAGCGGTACTTAACCATGTTCGGCTTTACAGTCTTGTTTCCAGCTGTAAGCAATTCTCCGAAGAACCAAGTTAAGGAGCAATCATTTTCAAGCAAGTGGCCTCAATCCCAACTTGGGATATTCTGTAATTAAGTGCCTTCGCCAAAGCATGGTGGAGTCCATCACTGGCTGACTTCCCCCGCATTGGCTAAAATAGCGAATCTTTACATCAAGTTGTTTACAACGGGGAAACCCTATTGGTATCGACTTCGGATGGATCTCTGACCTCTGAACTACAGCTCTCTGTTTACTGGGGTCTGGCTGAGATCTCAGGTTGTTAACAACTTGCATTTATATTGCGCCCTTTACGTGTCATAAGGTAATATCTTGCAGCGGTTTACGAGGATGGGTTTGGAACACCAGGCAAGCGAGGGGAAGGGGAAGGGGCAGGTTGTCACAGATGCGTCTGAAGAGGTAAGGTTTAAGGTGAGATAAAAGGTAGATAGACAGGGTGTGAGTCGGAGGGGTATGGGGAAGGAGTTCAGTTTCAATCATGCAGGACTGAACTAATAATACAACGTGAAGTGATTCTATTTCGGCGAATACAAGACTAGAAAGAGGCACAAACACTGAGAGGCACAGGATTAGAGAGAGAAAGAGAGAGAGAGAGACTTACTGGACAGAAAAGCAGAGGAAAAAAGACAGATACACAACTAAATATACCCACATTGTTTTTATACTGGTGTGTGTCTTGCCCAAATTAATGTGGATGTTGGTTCTCTGCCATTATACATTTGACTGGAACACGTGAAAATAATCACTGTGTTCGACGCAGCAGCGCCTTTCACATCAGGAGGTCACCACGAGCCCTTCATATACTGCGGAGGGCAGTGAGTGTGTATTTTGCGGTCTCACAAACCCTGAAAGTTTGTGTCATTTGCATTTCATACGCAAGCCCAATTAACATGATCACAGACGTACTGGAACTCCAGAGCAGGCCAATCGTCATTTGAAAGAGATAGGTTGATGTTTGAAGCCTAATCTCTCATCAGATATTTCATCGGGTCTTAAGCAACGCTAACCTGCTTTGCATTTTCGATGCATTTTTGCCTTCTTTACAACCCATTTGGAGAGCTTTCAACTAAACAGGCTCCAGATCATGGGATTAGCACAGTTTCTGTTTAAGACTCCTTGGGCTTTCAAACCCATGATAAAAAGCTTGATTTGTTGCCAGGTTTCCTTGTTAACACAAGATTACAGTTTCATCTTATCTGATCTGTTTGGCTTCCTTCAATAACATCTATTTATTCCCTGCTCACCGGGTCATTCTGTTTGCCTTCTCAGAGGCCGACAGTGGATAGCTCCACAAATAGAACCTTTCTCGCTCTGTCAAATGGCGCGATGTACATGTGCGAGCGTCTTTCACGTCTGTTTCATTTTAAAGCTTGGCTGCTTACACAGAAGACTGGTTCATTGGGTAAAACACGTGGTATTTCTTGAGTTCCTTAAATCAGCGCCGACACTGATTTAAGAAAAGCTTGAAGTGCTGCGAATTGCATCCCATCCTTTCAGGCGGGGCAGGTAGACGGGATGAATTCGGGATTCAATTTGCAGGCTTTGCAAAAGTACGCGTGAGGCGTGGAATCTGCACGCGTGCCTCAGATGAAACTGCTGGATCTCTGCTCCCGTGCTAGTTTTGTTTCTACTATGTTTGCAGCCGAATTGCGGCCACATTCGGCTGGACTGGCCTCGGATATCCGGGGTTACCATCGGGGTTTGCTTCTCACGAATCCTGTTCGGAAAAATCTGTCCATTGAATTGCTCACTGTACCTCCTGCCATTCTTCACGAAAGAAGTACAAGCCACGGCATTTGGGGTGTCCCTGGTACATTTGTCCCCCCAATTGAAATGTGGGACGCCCCCAAAAGTAAGGCCTGATATTTCTTTTGCGTAGAATGGTAAGAGGCACAGTAAGGCATAAGATATGTTGATATATATATATCCCGCCACTTCTGTGAAAGCTATGTTTGCTTCTCACTGGAAGACAGCAGTACAGAACGGACACTTGTGCGTTGATGTGGGTTCTGTAAGACGCTGGGTATATCATGAGAAAAAGTGGAGAAACTGAACATCAAGTCCACCTATACTTGCACTCCCTCATAATGCTGTGGATGGGTTGAACGGATATGTCAGGCCATTTTCAATGACGTCCAGTTCTTTCTGGCTAATCTTTTTAATTTTCTTTAATGTTCCTAATTCATTTGTTGGAATATCTCAATGCCCATGAGATCGCCCTTGTGTTGTGGCAAGGGAAGAAGATCTCGGTCACTCTCGGAGATTGATAGTCATTCTGGGAGATATGAAGAGTAGTTTAATACCTCTTCAGCAAAGCGAGCTGGAATGGGCTACAAATCATTGCTGATTGAGCACAGCGGGTCATTTGCAAGGAAGCCAACAGCAGCTTGATTCTAGTGTAAGCCAAAGTGAATGAGATGTAAAGATAGATGATAAAAGGTAGACCTATTAGTTAGGAACTAGCTCAATTAATTTCTACACTTTTTTAAAAAATTACAGCAAAGCTTTTTAATCTTTTTAATCGCTTATACCTCTGCCTTTCCTCTCGTTCTAACTGCATGATATTTTGCAGGTGAAGAGAGAGCACAGGTGAGTCAGTCAATGCCTAACCCACATTACACACCGCAGGAACCCAAAGTGAACGCTCTTCTATCTAACTACCCTCCCTCTCTGCCATCTGTTTGCTTCGTAGCCCTCACAGCATTTGAGAAATTGCCAATTCAGTGTGTCGGAGCACAACCTAATTTGCCATCTGTTGACAAGCAAACCCTGAAAACATACGTCATTCCATAGCTGTCAACCACAAAGAATGACATCCCACTCTGCAGGAAACAACAGTTGAACCAAATGAGATACCAGTTTGATCACTGAAAAGCTAAACGCTAATAAGCCTTGTCTTTGATACAATATGCCTCAGTACGTCGTTCCGACCTCTCAAAGCCCTTCACTGGTATTGCTGCTAATTGTGGTGCCTGTGTGTTTTTTTTAGGTGAACACAGGAGCGAATTTGAGCACTGCAACGTCCCAGTAACCGTCAATGAAGTGAATGATTAATTCTCAGCGAGGGATTTGGGCTAAGAGGCGGCGGAGAAACTCCCATCTCATTTTGAGCAGTGCCATGGGATCGTAATCTTGGTTTAATCTCTGACTTGAAGGACAGCACCTCCGACCACCCACCCCCCCACCGCCACCATCGCCCCCAGCATTACACTGGAGCGTCAGCCCAGAGAATGAGCTCAAAGTCCTGATCTTGATCCCGCAAGTTTATGACTCAGAGGCAAGAGTGCAACCAACTGAGGCAGGCTGACGCTTAAAATTAGGTTCCACAGGTAACAGCAACTCATCTCCAATCCATCAATCATGTAACCTTACCTCAGACCACTGCACCTACAACGTTGCAAAAAGGAAACAAAGTCTATTTGGTCCGATGAGAGATTTCCTCTTTTTTTAAAAAGAAAATGAATTATACTCGGGAAACCTACTAGAATCATGAAGTCGACAACAACAAGTTATGTTTGTACAGCGCCCTTCACATGGGGAGGATGTCCCAAGGCGCTGGACAATGGGGAATTTGTACCCGAGGAGGGGAGGGGGTGGGATTGGGGGAGGTGGAGGGTAGGAGTGTGGCCGAAGGCGCAGTCGAAGAGAAGGGCCTTGAGACGCGCCTCGAAGTAATGTCCTTCCTCTTTTTCTTTTGTTATTTCAATTTTTCTGCTCCTCCCTACCTCTGTGACCTCCTAACTCCACGTGAGCCTGTCTGCTCCCTCCGCTCGGCGGACACCGGCCTGCTTCAGGTCCCCCACACTTCCCGCCACACCACTGGTGGTCGGGCATTCAGTATTTCTGCCCCCATACCCTGGATCTCTATCCCACAATCCCTCCACATCACCCCCTCTCTTGCCGCCTTCAACTCCCGTCTAAAGACCTTCCTCTTCCACCGTGCCTTCAGCCAACCTCTCACCTCCAACCCCCCCACCCTGCCCTCCAGCCCTCCTGACCCCCAACTCGGGTCCAAAACTCATTTCGCCCACAAATATAGTCAATCCACTTCACAGTAATAATTGTATATTCCGTGCAGCGCTTTGCGACGTCTGGAAGACGTAACCAGCACTATAGCAAATGCAAGGATGATGTATTTTTTATAAGCTCGTGCAAAAGCAATTCTACACATCGCAGAGTTCACTTTGCACCGAGCTGAACATCTTGTGGAAAATGTAGAAGGAAACATCCCGAGAAGGAATGGATCCCGGGTAGAGGTTCCTACGGAACTGGATAGTTTCTGCTCCTAAAACAAACAAATAAGGTCTAAAACAAGGTAACAGCAAAATTACTTATGGATTCCTTCATCATGGAATCCTAATTATGGATTCTTAAGTCCAGGATTCCCTTTTGAAACCACCTTGTTTAAACATCATTGCTCCTGTATGACTGACTCCGGTTTACTTTGACCAATCTTTCCGAATATTTATGAAGGAGGATTCTCAGTAGGATTCTGACTCAAAGCCTAACTGTTGCCTTGTGCCGTTCT